TTTCAAGGTGAGATAACTAGTGATTTTCAGTTTCATGAGGAGTTATGAGTTCATAGACTTGAAAATCAATGAAATCTGTGCAAGAGGCCACCCTCATTAGGTAACTGTGGCTTAATTAGCCTCCAGTGTACTGAGAACAATTCTGCTCCTCTGCAGTTAGCAAACTGCCTCCTTCCTCCGTGTACTAATGCTTCTGTGGGCTGTAAGCACTTAACACAGTCAACTGTAATTCACCTTTCTTTATCCTACTGCTATTAATGAAGCTGTGTGTCTAAGCATAGACAATGCCCTGGTTCAAATAAGCAATAGTAAAAATGAAGTCTTCTAAAATGTGACTTAGTTAATAATGGTATGCACAATACCTATAGGAAAAGTGTCCCCCCCCAAAGAGATTACAGTTAAAATTAGTGTGGTCAGTACAAACGTAAAGCAGCAGGGATTGCAGCTAGTGAAAAATCAGCCTAGCTCCATGACTGCAGTGGGGCTGTGCTGCAGTCAAGGCCCTTAGGATATGTCTATGCTGCAATGAAAATCCTGTAGCTGGCCAGGGCTAAGGGACTGTTGAATTGCAGTGTCCATGCTCAGGCTTCTAATTGCAGCATAGCCACACCCTTGGAGGCCTAAAATAAGTTTATTTTTCAATTAAGGTAACAGTGCTACTTTCACTAGTGGATTGATGTGCTAGGAATGCTTTTGTTTGCTGTTATAAAGAGGAAAGCAAGACACATTTATGCTGTGGATGGGCTCGATCCTACTCCCATTCAAATCAATAGAAAACTCCCATAGACTTGAATGATGTAAGATCAAGCCCTCAGTGGATTTCCCCATTCCAGTAGTGCCTGGCTAAACTGTGAACTATAAAAATAGCTGCAATCTGACAGGCCAAGAGATGCCATCTTCAGTTTGACAAGTTTCCATTTCTTGGGGGATTTTTTTTTTTTTTTTCAATTCTCAATTTACTTTTCAGGCGTAATCCCCTTGCCAGGAGCAGGGTTAGAATATTTTCTATTTGTTTGGATGGCAGGTGTGTCACAACGAAGGAGCCCCACTCAATTTATTTTAGTTTTGGTTACTTAAAAATTAAACTTTTATGTGCTTTGTGAATACTTAGTGGGCACATGGATTTTCATAGTGGACAATGATGAATAATTCTGACAATATCAAAGCACCTCCACCTCCATAAGTAACTACTGGCAGAGGGGTAGTGTCTGGTGTCTGTGCAGTCAGCTTACAATGATGGTTGGAGGGAGGGCAGTGCTCGTATAAAGGATCCTCTGAGAAAACATCTCTCTGCTGCCTCACGCAGATTTTATTGAACTGTACTTCAGTAAGGTACTGGCTGTAATTCTACGTCTAGCTTTCAATTCCTTTATGCCGTAATAGAAAGCAGAATCTGCAGCGCATGTTCAAACACTGTTCTTTAGGGTGACATGATGCCTTTGGGGATTTTCTACATGAAAAAGATTTTGTGAGACATCCTATTGAATTGGTGTTTCTTTTCTCAATGAGCAGTACAGTAACTGTTGTGGATTTCACGCTTACCATAACAACATGCTAGTTTTTATTTACAATGAAGGATATGCCACTGATTTAGCAGAGCAGAAGCAGACACAGGTCAGTGCAGTTTGTGGCTGTACTCTTTGAGAAAGTATCTAAGCTTTCATTTAAAAGAAAATATCCCAGACCTCCTCATTGCAGAAGAAAGCCTTCCAAGTGTGAGCCAAGTGCAAACTGAAGCTTATTGTCTGCCTGAGTATGCAGGCAGCCTGAAACCAATCTCGGAGGTGTGAATTACCTTTACTTTAAAACCTACAGACAACATTGTAAATGTCAACATAACTATTTCCTTTACGATAAATTTAGTAGAAACATGGGCTTCTCCCATAATCCCACGCTGCTCTCCCAACCAAGAGCCCCATCTGTCCTCTACCCTGTTGCTAGGATTTCCAGCTTTTCCCCCTCCACCTTCTGTGCTGGAGTTTCACAGTGGTGACAGAAAATTCTCTAGCTCATTGAAAATTACAATTAAATGAATGTAATATCACAATCAGTAACATACAGGCTATTCTGGGTATTACTCATTTTCACACTGAACTCATTAAGAACCTCAATTCCTTAATTGAACTGAAGCTCCAGTCTGATGCACTAGTGTGCCACACAATCCAAGGGGTTTCTTCAGAATGTAGGGAAAGCTTGTCACAGACCGCACAGCCTTGATGCATACCCCTGCAGGCTGTGAAACAGGGAAGCAGAAAAATGCAAGCTACTTAAGGATGGACACGTGCAAACAGTATAGTAAAGAGACGAATAACACTTAAGTTGGATAGGCTGAACACATCTGTAAAGAGAGAGCACAGGTTGATTAAAATCTTAAAATCTACCCTAAAACAAACCATAGCAAAGAATTATACTAAAATACTCTTTTACACATACAATGCATGGTAAAATGGAACAGGAGCTATGCAGTATTATTTTTCATGGTGTTACACAGTAAGGGCATTGAGACTGATGTGCTGCTATTTATTAATGAGGGCTTGAACTCTGACAGAATTATTAAGTAATATTCAAAAAGTGTTACCCAGGGTTTTCAGAACCCAGTGCTATTTGCTAAACCAACCAAGAATATGTCATCTTTTCAGATTGCCATAGGCAGATTCAGAACTCTCTGTGAGAAGAAGAAAATTGTACTTCGCCAACTTTGTTCCACTGTTAGTACTGTCATGTTATCTGGCTTAACTGGTCAAATCTATTAATAGCTAGATGAATCACCTTACTGCTGTTTGTATAGTAACTCTTCCTATTGTGTTTCCTCTATAGTCTTACCTAGCCTTCCTCCAGGACACAGCACATAGAGAGAGACACTGTCCTGGAGCCCAAAGAGGGGAGAAATAGGTTGAAATGAAGCAAAGTAGCTCTAGCCTGCAAAGGAAATGTATTTGCATTTCCAACTAAAGGCGGTAACTTGTTCTGGAGGGCCAGTTTGTGTTCAAATCAGAGTATTTTTAAAATATGAATTATTCTATGGCAGGATAAAAAAGGAGCCTTTTAAAAGCCAATTCCATATCCATCCCCCTTTCCTCCCCTTCACCTCCCCCCACCCTGCAAAAACAAACAAACATACCACAGTATCAATTTCTGCAGGGCTCACCATTCGAGACACCTCATCAAAATCTTCAGGAGACATGGGTAAGAGGTTTTCTGTGGTCTGGAGTCTGGAAGGGTGGCTGACATGGGGAGAAGAGAAGGGACAAACCTTCAGTGTATTAACATTAATTCCAGTGAACAAGCAGCACCCATGATGTCAATTCATTTCCCATTTCAAACTCCTTTCACTTTACTTGATTTTTAGTAGCATGTGCACCTCACCATGGCATCTGGCTGCCTCTCATTCAGTTTAAAAGGCAACACGTAGGTAGGTGTCACTGAGATGGGTGACTCAGCAAAGTTATATCTAACTCATTTTGCAGTGATGTTAATTACACAAGAACAAATGTGAGCTGTGGGGAAGATACCATCTTTCAGCAAGAGACTCCATTACATAGAGCTCCTGGGCCCCATGCACAGTACCACTGAAGTCTCGAGATGGGTGTGGACCCCTGTGCCCATGGATCCTATTTCCACTACATCTACACAGGGATAAAAACCTCAGGGCTGGTCTAGGTCAGCTGACTCAGGCTGCGAGGCTGAAAAATTGCTGTGTAGACCCTGCAAGACTGCAGGTTCCAGCCTGAGCCAAAGCATCTACACAGCTATTTTTAGCCCTGCAAACCAAAGTCAGCTGACCTGGGCCAGCCACAGCTGTGCCGTGGGTCTTTTATCCCCGTGTAGCCATACCCTGCAATATCAACAGCTCTCACTTGAGTAGACCACCACCAGCAGGAGATTCCACAAGCGAGGGTGTTGGGCTTAGAAAGCCCAGCCAGTTCTTAACTGCATTGCTGAGACACAATGTTTCACTCTCTGCAACGTAAGAGTGGTTTTAAGACAACTAAAAATCAGAAGTGTGTGGCTGGGAATACACACTGATCTACTACAATCAAGTCAGGATAGGTCATGTTAGTCCAAAGAAAACTGAGATAGCTAATTTTTATGAAAAATCAAGTATAGGAAACAGTTGTAAATTGCCCAAATATTTCAACATTTTGTACTTTAATATAGTAGCTTTTTTTCGATTCTATTATGTGTATTGTGGTGTCTTCCTACCCAGTGGGCTTAGCAAAGCAGGGGCAAGAGATCTAATAGTAAATCATGTACATCTTTAACACTCCTAAAACACACATTGTTTTTTGTAGTTTCAAATACTATCCAATTTTTAGAAATCCAACTCTTCTGTACAAACTTACACTTCAGATACGGAGATTAATTCAGTCTTGATGTATCCATTCCCTTTGGGGCCATCTAAATCCATAGGCTCAGAGGCTAAAAATAAAATACACCTATGCTTAGCAAATGTTCACTTCGTGAAAAATCTTTTATATGAATTAAAGGAGCAGTGTCAAAAATTACATTTCTTCCTGAAAATGTTTTACCAGCTACTGTTACAAAAACTCAGGCTGTATTTCCAGTTGATTTCCATTGTGCATTAAAGAAGACTATGTCAAGTCAGTTCCCCCTGCTTGTGTGACTTTTCCCACACAGCAAGAGGGAGGGGAAAAACAAAGGAAAACATGGCCTTGATCCATGCAGGCAGCAGCTTCCACCCCGTGAAGTCAATGCAGCACCACACAAGTGCCAGCGTCCAGCTACGTGGATCTAATTTCTAGTGGGGGCATAAGGTTGTAAAACCATAAAATATCCTATTGGGATCCAGGAAGTGGGCAGGCAAAGCCCGCCCACTGCTAAAGGTCCCCCCCAGCCTAAGGTGGGGGGTCCACAGGACCTGGAGACCAAAAAATTACGGGGGACAACTAATAAAAGAACAGGGACAGGAGTGAGGTCAAAGGGTCAAACGAAGCGAACCAGACGGGGACACTGAGGAGAGAACCTCGGACAGCGCCCACTGCTCCTCGAAGGTGTCAAGGAAGCCAGCGGACACCGCCCAGAGGAACTCCGCCCGGATATGTGAACGAACGGAGGACCTGAAATAGGCCCCACAGTCACAGGAGACTATCGGCCAACCTCCTCACTCTGGTTTTATAGATGGCCAGTTTTGCTAGGGCCAGGACGAGGTTGACCAGGAGGTCCCATGACTTTGTGGGGCGACGGATAGGGAGTGCATAAATAAAAAGGTGAGGAGAAAAATGCAACCAAAATCTTAACAAAATATCCGTGAGGAGCCGGAATAGGGGCTGCAGCCTGGCGCACTCCAGGTAAACATGCGCCAGGGTCTCCCTCACGCCGCAGAAGGGGCAGGTGTCTGGGATAGGGGTAAACCGCGCCAAGTACACGCCCGTGCTCACGGCTCCGTGAAGGAGCTGCCAACTGATGTCCCCGGTGGGCTTCGGGATCAGAGCAGAATAAAGGCTGGCCCACCGGGGCTCCTCACCCTCCAGAGGTGGCAGAAGGTCCTGCCACTTCGTATTGGGGCGGGATGCGAGGGTGAGGACATGAAGAACATGGAGCACGAGCGTGTACAGATGTTTCCATGGCGCAGTCCGGAACAGAACCAAGGATCGTGCAGCCGGCTCATGGTGAAGGGACCGGGCGGGGGCCCGATGAAAAAAAAAACCCATAAAATGGCAGGCAGACTCAGGGGCAATTGTATGGCCTGAAACCACCACGTACACATTTTTCAATTTGAATAGATTTCCCACTGACAGCCCCTGTACAACCACACTTTTTTCCCCACCTGTTGAACAGTTAATATACAACTGCTCACATTTTAGACTGGAAGAATTCAGCAGGCGTGGTTTAAAAACCACTGACCATTCTGGTTCAACTACCATCATTTAATTGTATACCACAGATATCTGGTATTCCAACATTTCAATGACAAATAAATACCTCAAAATACTTCTGCAAATGAAATGCTGATATCACTTACTCTCCTTGGGTCTGGAGTAGTATTTCCCAAAGGCATTATCTTTGGGAATATTCGGGTACAGGTAGCTCAGTGGATTTTCAGGAATATTTTCGGCCGCCATCACTTTGTAGTTGCGAATGATATCAGGGAAAGTAACAGCTGAGAGCTCCTTCTTGGTATAAGGTTCTACCGAATGGAACTGAGGTTCTAGTGAATAAAGAAGGATGTGAATCCTAGAGATGATGCCAAACGCATGGTTAAAAGGATACAGAAAAATACAACTGAGCTTACATATTCAGAGAGGGTCAAGTGAAGGAAGAGCCTTACAGAATGAAATCTAATTTGCACTGTCACAATTTAGTTTTTATTTCCAAAGCAAGTACCGCTCCATGCAGAGGAAAGTATGACCTAATGTATGTGCGAACGGTTCTTTTCACATGTTTTATTCAGAGTGACTGGGGTGACTTGTGTTCACCTCTGGAAATGGGCTGTAATCATATATTTAAATTAAACCATGCTGAAATTTACAAGACTGGCCCTTTTCAGCCTTTTCTGATAAAATTCAGGTCACATCACCTGTACCTGATTTGACCCAAACAACCATGGCTGTTTTATTATGGGGGTGAGCGGGGCAGGGACCCCCTGCAAGCTGAAAGTTTGGATATGGGACAACACTGTGTCTTCCCCTCAGCCTTTGACTGGCAAAGGAAGGAGCGGGAAGGCTGCAGAGAAGGAGAAATAATGGGTGAGGCAGCGGCTTTCAGCAGCAGCAGTTTCTCCTAGGCTGTTTAGTAGCTGGGCTCCATCAGCAGCAGCTGCAACCTCCTGCCAGCTAGGGGCAATCTGTCTCCTACAGACTAGGCAGGAAGATGCAAGGAGCCTCTCCTTTGCAGTCAGTGCAATCCCTGCCCCGCCCGGCCCCTCACCAGCCAGCCTTGGTCTGAGCCCAGCAGGGAAGGAGCTAGCCAGGCAGGGAGCTGAGCTGATTGCAGAGGAGTCCCAGCTGCCCATCCCCCAGTGTCTTCTCTCCCCCTCTCTGGAGACAGGTGCAGGGGAGCTGCTGGGAGCAGGTGGAGTGGGGGAGCAGCACTTGGGGGGGAGTTACAGGGTCAAAGGAAGGATCTCTGGTCAGGGGGATGGGGGCAGTGCAGCAGCACCTTGGGGATGGGGGAACCTTGGGCAGATGCAGGTGAGAGCTGGGAGGCTGCTGGGGGCACCTTGGGGCGGAGGGGGGCATGAAGGATATGTACTAGGATATCTTGGGACGGAGGTGACCTGTAGGGGGGAATGATACTAGGGGGGACCTTGGGGATTTGTCCTCCACAACTTTATAGGCCAAACTGATTCCCCTGGAAATGCCCCTGTCCCCACTGAAGTAATCGAAGCAGCCTACCAGATTGTTGATGGAATATTGTACTTGTGGTGGTTCTCTGGCACTTATCGGATGGGATTGTTAATTTCATGTTATTGCCAGTCTGTGTAAGGAAGACAGAGGGCTCCAAGGATTTTTAACTTTGGTTTTAAAATGTAGGTATAAACCCAAGTTATTCTCTGTATTTACTTACCATTTTGGGATCCCTCTACCCAGGTAAAAGTGATGGCTCCTTCTCGGCTACTTTCACTAAATCTCAGTAAAAAGGTCCCTGGCCTTTGGTCCTTTAACAAAGCACGTTCTCTCTCCTTACTGATAAAACCCATGATACAGCTGTAATATTAAAAGAAAAATTGTACAATTTACTTCTGAGTACATCCAAAGCCTATTATTGGGCTACTGCATGTAACTAAAAGCAGAATTTTCCAATTGGTTTATAACATCCTATGCGGCTATAACACCACCATCAATGCACAAATTACAATGCACTCTCTCGCTCCTGGGTGCAGTAGTCCTTGAGCAGCAGCTAACCAGAGAGTGGCTATTCAGCCTTTTCTCTCCTGCTATGTGTAACGTGCTATAAAATGTTGTTGCAACACTTTTTAAAATCAGAAATTGGTTTCAGTTATCCAAAACAACCAGTGTCTCGGTTCAATGAGTAAAATTACTCAACTTACTCACATGTGTGTTTGCAAGACCAGGGCCTAGGTGGCAGTTTTAACTGAGAAAGAGCATTAAGCGGGTATTAACAAAAATTGTCACTGCGTTCCTTTTTGATATGCTGTGTTTGCTTTAGTATCCCATGCTCCTGTCGGAATCACAGACAATTGTTTGGGTTTCTCAGTATTCTTTGGTTTTGTGCTCACTTCCCAGACAGCATATGTATCTCTGCCAGATCAGATATTAACAGTCTAGGTTATTTCAACCCCAGTATTTCATTGTGTGTTAAACCATGTTCTCTTATGCTTGGCAACACTCTGATAGTAGCGCACATTAACGTTCTCACCCTCTTTGTACCATGGTTACCAGATGCAGGGTACTATGATGCTTTTCCCTCTGGAAAGGTTTATCTTTTGTCAGACAATGCTTCAGAGTGATCTGGGGTGATTTTGTGGTCTTGAAGGAAAGAAGCTCTGAGGAGAGCATATGGGGCTGTGTCTAATCTGCTTGCTATGCCTGAATTTACCTGCACAGGGCGGAGTGGGCCAGTGGGGTATCCCAGAGTAACATCTATTTTACGGGCACAATGGTGAAGACCTTAAAAGGTGATGATGTCTGAACATTAAGATGACACAGGGAGGGTCTCAAACAAGGACATGAAGAAAGAGACTGCTCTCAAGACAATGACCTCTATCTACTAGCAATATCTGTGTTTTCATGGTTGGGGGTGAGGTAGCTCTGACGCAGTCATTTAGCAATATTGTCCAGGTTTTCTCTAGTAGATCATAGTTTGAGGGAGAGGCAAGAGTTTTGCTTTAAAATAATCTTTAAACTCAATTTTATTTATCTAGGAGTTCAAAAGTCCTCTGAACTATTGCTCTTTCCTTATGCAAACACTCATTTATGTAATTAAACCACCATTACTCTAGGTAAATATGTATCTTGGCAAGCCCAGTACATTAGGAAATACACCATCTACCCAAAAGAGAACAGTAGAAATCTACAAGGTAAATTATATATTTAGAGATTTTTTAAAAGGAGAACACTTCAGATATTGTAGGTAACAGCTACAAAGGATCCCTTGAGGACTATATATCCCAATCCTTTGTATGTTAATCTTCAGCTTGATATATGAAAAAGGCAATTTGGGCCAAATTCAGCAAGGCACTTAAGCATTTGCCTAATCTGAAGCACATGAGAACTTCTATTATTCATACACATAAGCACCTTGTTCAATCAAAGGCTATATTCATAATTTTCCTGGTCTATGTTTGTTAGTCCTGGATATAAGTATTATCTTGCCAGTATAAACACCCTAAAACTGTCATTAAAATAGTAAGAAAGTTTGTCATTGCTTTCATTAGTTATTGATTGCCAATCTTAATACATAGTGAAGGTTCGTTCACAGGATCAGAAGCACCTCTCATCATATATGAGCTGTCAAGAGGGTTGTAAAATAAGGTCAAATCTGAACTGACAACTAAAAAGCAGGATTAAAACCTCATTTTTAGCCTATTTCTGGCAGCAGTCATAGCCCATTATTAAAGGGTTTCAGTGTTGCTGATGTCACATAGTCCCACGGTTTCCAAACATTATTAAAGCAGCTGATTTTTCAATCTGGAAAAGAGCTTTACTATTAACATTTTAATTCTTTAACATTTGATCAGAAAAAATTAGTTGCTGTAGCTGGACTCCATCACTGGTATCAAAGGATTCAGTCAATCCAGCTGTTGCCAACAGGAGGCTCACAAACGCACTTTTTAAAACAAGAGTGAACATTGTACAAGATTCCCCCACAGCACCTCAGTCTTCACCTGCTAAACTCCTGTTCTTATGAGCAAACTCAGTTCTGCCTTGGGATGTGGTGAAAGCTCACTGCACTGTAGGTTGAGAGCTGGTGGCTCATCTCACTTAACTTGAAACTAATCTGAACTTTGACCTTTGGCATTAAAAGGAAGGGCAATGGGTTTATTCACTAAACTCATGGTCTTTTTACCACTGCTTCAGCTAACATGCAGAGGATCTGTCTGGTTCCTTCCAACAAAGACCCAGAACAAACCTCATTTGCCCTATTAGCACTCCTATTTTATTTCCTATCACAACTGTCATTTTAACAGAGCTAAAGGCTTGAATCATCAGCCATTCATCTTCATTAGCAACATACAAGAGTCTTACCCATCATTCCAGAGACACAAGAGGTGTTTTTTAATGAGTTCAAGGATGCCCTCAATCCACAGCCAGAAGGGAAAATTTTTATCATTTATATTTTCCTGAAATTACAGTACATGGGGAGGAAGACAAATGTTACAAAAAGAAATCTGAGTACAATGGACGCAACTTATAACAATGTCCTAAAAAAGCTGCAGTGTCTCTCTTTCCTCTTTTCTTCACCCCTATTTTTCTTAACATTTTTCCTCTTTCTTTGTTCCTTTTTGTTGTTTTTATTTCATTTATTTATTTTTTGCTGTTTCCTCTCTTCCCTCCTCTCTAATAGCTCCAGTTCCTCCACTCCCTAAGAGGAAAGATGCTGCGTTGGGATGAGGTGCATTCATTGGTACCATCCTAAGCTGGTCTGTGTGGCACAGGGAAGAGAAGCTTGGGCTGGCAAGGGGGTACCTGGGCCTGCAGGACCTTACATGTGACCTGCTGCCACCACAGGCACGTATATTAGGGTATGTCTTCGTTGCAGAGTTAACTTGTGCAACCCAGCTCCTGTCCACTGGAGAACTACCCTTTTTGTTTAAGAGCAATGAAGCGCCTTCACTCAATGATTAACAGGTGAAATAGAAGTGCAGGAATAAAAGCCAGGAACAGCAGATTGCTGTATCTATGGATTTATGTATTTCAATATAATAGAACAAAGTGCTCTAGGTGACTTCTATAGAAACTAAGATTCAGTCCCTGAAAAGATGCACACAACTCAGCAGTCTAACCTCACCCCCATATAACTTACATGAACCAACCATAACTGAATCAAAATATTCACACACACCCCTTGCCTTCCCAAAAGCCTAGTGAAAAAAAGTATAAAGAAGTATTTAGTACAATACTCAAGTAGAAAAACTCCATGCAAGAGAATCCTCAAACAAGAGGAGTCGAAGCGTTGTCTTCATGATCTAACTTGTTAAATAGACAGTTCCTACCTTGCAGAATCTTGTCCAAGGAATAAGGCCATCAAGAGAGCCTCCACCTGTTGGACCTAAACAACAAACCAATAGACTGGTTTCAGACAACATGTTTGTTTGAAATATCATTTAGGCTCAAGACTTAATGAAGGTGAAACCAATCTGTATTTACATAATAAATTCTAAGCATTTGTTTAGTTTCAGTTAGGGGTGTAAAAAAGAAGGAAGAGAAGCTGTTGATTTAACTGTTCAAATAGCTGGTGCAGAGCTAGCAATGCAGTTTTGCAGAGTAGCCCCTCTAGAAAGTGTTCTGGAGAAGCAGAATGTATGCGAATGACAAACCTATGTTCTGACAGGCACCACTAAGAACAATCGAGAGCTCTGCTACAGATTTTATATTAACAATAAAATAGGGTAGGAACTAATCCAAATACAAAGAGATAATCTAAAACTGCTGTTGCATACTAAGACATTTTCATCTTCAAAATAATTCTAGAAATGTGGTCCAATCATTCTCCATTTATTGGCAGAAGCCACCACACTGAAATTAGGACTATCCATGTGAGTTGAGAGAGAGAGAGAGATTTGGCCTATTAACTCATCAATCATTGCAACATCCTGTGAGATCAAGTATTATTCCCATTTCAGTTTTCGTGACTTGCCAAAGGTCACACAGAAAGCTTGTATCATAGCGAGGAATAAGCCTCCTATCCCGATTTCCAAGCCTACCCTTAACCACGGAATCATTTTCTTTCCCTTTCGAATCCTGTAGCATATGTGCGTGTTTTGATTTAAATAATGTCTGTGGTTTTTCCCTTAAAGGAAACTGTAGCCCAGTTGCCTATGCTACATCAATGGCAACATGCTCAAAATCCCCCTAAGCACACAACATCACTAGGGAAGTAGTGTATATTTGTAGCTACGCTCACAGAGGACGAAGATTCGGTTACTTATTACTATTAAGTATTCCCACTACATTCACAATTGGATTTTCAACTATGAGGCGTGGGACCCGCAGAATCTCAGGGGAAACTAGACATACTGGCTTGTCAGCTACAAGCCTTTCCAACTCTGACTCCATCCAGTATCCTACTCCTACTCTCAATATTAATCAATCAGACTACAAGTTCCAGGCACAAGGGAGAAATCTCCCCCCCGTGTCCATCTAGAATGAGTCTCAGTTCCCAATACCATCCATAGTATCACAGCACAGACTATGCACACCCTCACATCTGGAAGAATGGATACAGGCTTTATCAGATCGCTGAACTCCACATACCAGTAAACTATATACAGCACAGAAGGAAGTCTCGAATTTATTGCAGCTAATAAGGATTCTCCCATCAATCTTTCCGGTGCTAAGATTAGGTTTTATAACTCAAATGTAATGTAATGATAAGATGGAGGATACCTATTTACAAACTTAAGTGGAGATTATCACAGTTTGGGAATTTCCCAAGTTGTAAAATACTAAACAAACAGAGATGGTCAGTGATCAATATCACTCTATCTAACAGCAGGAAACCTTTATTTTTTTTATGATGAATATATTCTGCCTTTGTTAAATATTACAGAATTTTAAAACACATAGAAAAGTGATCTAAACTAACCATGGTAAATTGTTAACCTTTTAAAGATTTGATATTTTGAGAACTTACTAGAGCTAGAAAGAATGCTTTATAAAACATTGGACAGCTGGGATTTCCAATTTAGATTTTTTTTAAATATAACCTTTTATAAAATTTAAGGCTAATGGGAATGCTTCTAGGAATTAGTAACAAAAGTTTTGTTTTTTTAATTAAATGTATCCTTCCAGACTCTCTTATCCAAACACTACAGAATTGAATTAGTCAGGGTCTCGGAGAACCAGACAGAAAACTGACACTTTTTCATTGTTCAAGTGGGAATACTCAAAAATTGAACAATGAATTAGTTTAGCTAAGGACGTGTGGGGGGGGAAGGGCAGGAGATTTTTAACTTGACACATTCCTTTAAAGTCGTCACTGGTCTCTTGGTCTAGCCCTGCCTTTTATGCACTGCGTCAAGACTGTATATAGCAGGTCCTGGTCTATGGGCAAGTGTAACATGAAAACCTGAGACAAAAATTACAGTTACTGGGCTAAATGACCCATTTCTTGAAGGAATATTTCAATGCCCTCTCAGAAGTAGATTTGGTCCCAATCCTGTAAACCCTTGCTCAGAAGGGGTGTGTGTGTGTGTGTGTGTGTGTGTGTGAGTGTGTGTGTGTGAGAGAGAGAGAGAGAGATCTGTAGGAGCTAATCCTTAGAGTATACAAACTATCTAGCATGTAGAGAAATGGCTTCAACACTGTAAGTGTATGACCACAATACAACCTCTATCTGCATTACAGAACACTGAATATTAATAGTTTAAAATTGGGCTACAGAGTATAGCTATAAAAAAACCATTACAAAATAGAGTGTAAAATAAGTTTCTCCAAACATAAAGTAACAATGGAGGATAATTGCAACAAAAAACATAACAGTCCAACATGGTAGTAAGTACAGCTGGTCAAAAAAATTTCAAAATTTGACTTAAAAAAAGGCCGGGGGAGACAAGCTTTTCATGTTTTTTCTATGGAAAAGTTCATTCCATTTTTATCTAGCAATAAGTCATTTCTATCTAGCAGTCCATCTACTTACTTAATATAACCAAGAGGAAGGAACATAATAAAAGGGCTTGCAGATATAGAAAAATCTGTTATAGAATCATACCAAGAAGTTTCTCCCCCAGCATGCTCAACTGATCTGCATGAAGTCCCCTCTTAGTTACGGAAGAGAACTGCCAACTCAGCACTTCAGAAAGTTGAGACCATCTTGCACAAGGTGGGTTCAGAAAGAAAGACAAGTTCTAGAGAGAAAACACCATGTCCACAATCTTAAACACACATGAAACTTAGCATGAGCACAAGTGTATGGTTAAAAAAGTAACTCTTGAGTTTGCATAAGATATGGTGAAGTTTGACAATAAATGAGGACTTCTACATAGATGGAAGGTCCAGCTGACCATGGAGAAGCCGTTAACAATACTGAAAGTCTCTTGTTCTCCGAGAAAAAAGAAAGCTATGGCACTTCTCTTTGGGTTTAATCTTACCCAATAAACCATTCCATGTTACCGAAGAGCAGTGGATTTAATTACTGAATATACACAGTACCCTGGGAGAAGCCAAAAAAGCATCTGAAAACAGGTGTATAAAACATAATGAATATTACAAAACAGTTTGCTTGGTTTAAAAAAAGCACACACGAGAAACATAAACCCCAACCAAACAAAAACAACAACAAAACAATCCTAGATCCAATAAGAATTGAACTTCAGAATAAAGATGAAAGAATGAATTACAGACGCTCCCCGGGTTATGCAAGACCCAACTTACACAAATCCGCACTTATGGAAAAAACTCCGTAAGTGTCATGGGTTTTTTTGTTTTTGTGTTTGTTTGTTTTTGCGCGTAATTGTCGGGTATGCGTTCCCAACTTACGCAAAATTCGACTTACGGGGAGCATCTGTATGTCAAATATTATGAATTAACATGGAAAGACAACCCACATCTCCCTTGTAAATTACACAATAGTTTCAGGATACTGACTTACACTTTTAACATCCTATCTATCTTTCATGTCAACAACACTTAGGCCTGGTCTACACTAACCCCCCAAGTCGAACTAAGGTACGCAACTTCAGCTACGTGAATAACGTAGCTGAAGTCGACATACCTTAGTTCGAACTTACCGCGGTTCAGACGCGGTCCACACGCGGCAGGCAGGCTCCCCGTCGACTCCGCGGTACTCCTCTCGCCGAACTGGAGTACCGCAGTCGACAGCGAGCACTTCCTGGTTCGACTTATCGCGTCCAGACCAGACGCGATAAGTCGAACCCAGAACTTCGATTCCCAGCCGCTGAACTAGCGGCTGGGTGTAGACCAGCCCTTAGAAGTAAGTATTCTGTAAATACCTTTGGTTCAGTAGTCAGCATGTTGTACCACAAAATGGAAGCCCATCCGCTTGGAAGCTGGCTCACATTTGAGATCACAACAATGGGAAGGGATGTGGTCTGTAAAGGAGAGAGATTTTTGGAATTATTTGTGATACAGTTATTCTACTGTGTATACTTTTTTACACTGAAATTGATTTAGGTATATATACTATAATCTTTCATATACAATATATACATTATCAGTTTGTGATGAAGTGGGCTATGTCTGTACAACTAATTAATTCTGATCAATATTGTGAAGTGGTTTTATGAAAAACTGCTGCATTACCAGTATCTATATGCATGTGGATCCACTATTGCTGACAGGGCCTGTAGCAGGTACACACCAGACAGGGGCAATGTGACATACTTAAGGTTAACAATGGTATTTAGACCTCATAAAGGTCATGCTAAAAAAGCAGCGGCATCCTTAGAAATACTGTCATATATAGGAAAAACACAAAACGTCAAAGACTCACTAGTGAAGGAATGTAGTAAGTGCTGGTAGAGACTGCTATAATTAAGTTTACAAAACAGTTTCTCTCGTTCCCTATTTTCACATGATTATAACTTACCAAACCTTTTAGAATCATAGAATCAATTTGGATTGATGTCTTCTATGTTTGCATATGGAGGGGAGGGAGAGTTGAGTTTTTTGGGACTGGGGGAGTGTGTTGGAATTGGTGAATATCCCATCAACCAAAAAGTCAGTTTTACATCTCATTCAAAAGTTGGCACCTCCAGCAGCACTTCTAATGCTCGCCTGGGGCACTGGTTCAGTTCTGACCTGAAGGGAAGAGTGCTACCTAAAGAACTGCAGGTAGCATTTCTGCAACACAGAGTGTTCTTTGTGAGGTTTTACAAACCAGACTAAGCCTTACTTAGGTACTGAGATTTGAAAGAATCAAAATACAAAAGGCCCTATCGCTATATGCGGTGACACTGCTAAGTATCATCAATGTATTTGAAAACAACAATGGAGGCGGAAAAAATGATGAAATTCTAATACAGTAGAACCTTAATTTTATGAATACCACTCTTACAAACAATTTTTTCCCAAGAGGACAATAAAAATCACAACAAAAGTGATGTTGATGAAGAACAAGCACATGTCTTCAGTGCATTGAAAATTCCTTTGCACTGGCTTGAAGTCAAGAAAGCGACACAATGCACCATGCTGCATCTTATGCACCATAGCTACTGTAATTCTGAGACATTCCTAAAAATTGAACTCAGGTCCCAATTATTTCATAAAATAGGGGTTTCTACTGTACTTAAATAACTTAGAACCTCTGAATAAAATTACTCAGAATTAATTCTACCCCTATCTAATCTACATAGTAACCTTACCTCTAGATCTACTACCAGCCCAGGCTGGCACAGCTGAGTTTCAAAGCTGAGGGAATGAAGTTCTTCTGTTACAATGAGAGGACCCTTTAAAAAACAATCATAGGGAATTAAATGATTAAGCTCAAATTCTTAAAACATTGTAAATAAGACATTTTAGGCTGTTAGGATTGATATGTTATGTTAAATACTGTATGGGAACCAATTTGGGAGGGTACCTTCTGTCACGAAGTGGGGGGACATCAGGGCCCTGCACCCCTCCTCCTGGGATTCACTGTGACTCTCAGCCAGCCAGTAAAACGAGAGGTTTATTGGACAGTAGGAACGCATTCTAAAACAGGGCTTGTAGGTACAGCCAGGACCCCTCAGTCAAGTCCTTCTGGGGGGCAGGGAGCTTAGACCCCAGCCTTGGGATTCCCTGCGTTCCACCACCCAGCACAAAACTGAAACTAAAAACTCCTCCAGCATCTCTCTCTCCCCTCCCCCCAGCTCCTCCTCTCCTTTGTCCAGTCTTCCGGCCAGAAGGTGTCACTTCTCCCAACCCCCCTCCTGGCTCAGGTTACAGCTCAGGGATCTTCCTTCAAGGGAAGTCCCCCATCCCCAATGTAACTCCCCTGCAACATTCCCGGCACACCTTCTATTTCCCCAGCAGTGGATAAGCTATGAAGTTACTGTCAGTCCAAATAATGACATTTAGTATTCACTGGTTAATGTAAAAGCAAGCCCCCTATAAGCCATTTTTCAAATATTCAAATTAAGTGCTTCTAGGGATTAGAACAAGTGTCATTAGGCAGGGAAGGGAGCAGTTACTGTGTCCATCTTTGATGGTCTCCTGGCTTAGACAGAATGAGTCCCTAGAGAGCACATGGACATTTCAGCAGGAACTTTCTGAGTCCCCTCCATGTCTGCTACTGAGCAATCCCAGGGAATTCTGCCATTGGCAAAAATTCTTGTTAGAGCCCTGCTGCCATGGGGAGGAAAAGCACCGAGCTGGGATCTTCCGTATAGTACAGCGTCTATGTCTGTGATTCCAGGGCTTGCTTTCCCTGAGATGGTAAGTTCCTACTCTGCTCTGCCCATTTTCTTCTTGAGGACATTTCCATGGGATTGGGCAGTTTGGCCCACTATCAGGCATTTAATAGTTCTTAATATTATAAAAATAACTGGACCAAAAGAGGGGAGGAAAATGTCAGTGCTTCTTACCTCATTAGTTCTGCTTCCTGTATTTTTTTGTTCCTTTAATTGCTGCAAACAAAAAGAACAACCCAAAATAAATGACAGTCCTGACTGAAAAAGTGACTGTTACAAATAAAAGATGTGAGTATTTACATAAATAAAGTAGCGTTTGCACAGTCCCTGCTGCATAACTGGCCATGAATCTGCTGCATTAGTCTCTGATCCTCTTTAGCTCCCAAATGTGGGAACCAGGGGATTTGACTGTAGATACAGTGGATAACTACCGTCCCTTTATAAAAGCATTCTGCTGTGAAAACAGATATTGCAAGCTGAATTAATATCTTTTTATCATGCTGCAATGATTGTGTAGAAAAGGCCTTTCTTAGAGGCACAGCAACCATTATTGAAGAGGGTGAGATAGACTAAATAATGGATTATCATCAATCAGCATCCACCCTAAATCTGTCCAGGAAAATATCAGCAGACTCTACCATTGTTAGTGCCCTATATATAGGTCTAGGCCAGGGGTGAGCAAACTTTTTGGCCTGAAGGCTGCATCGGGTTTCGGAAATTGTATGGAGGGCCGGTTAGGAGAGGGGGTCATGGCCCGGCCCCAACCTCCTATCTGCCCTCCCCCCCGGGACTGCTGCCCCATCCAACCCCCCCTATTCCCTGACAGCCCCCCCAGCCCAGGACTCCTGCCCCATCCACACACCCCCGCCCTGTCCCCAGACCCTCGCTGCCCCCCATCCAACCCCTCCTTTCATTCCTGACGGCCCCCCCAGGACCCATGCCTCATCCAACCACCCCTTCTCCTTGTGCCATGACTGCCCCCGGAACCCCTGCCCATGACTGCCCCCTGCCGCCCCATCCAACCCCCCCTCCTTCCTGACTGCCCCCCTGGGACCCCTGCCCCCATTCAACCCCCTATTCGACCGCCCTGACCCCTATCCACACCCCCCCCCACCCCCTGACCACCACCCCGAACTCCCCTGCCCGCTATCCAACGCCCCCTGCCCCCTTACTGTGCTGCCTGGAGCACTGGTGGCTGGCAGCGCTACAGCCACGCTGCCGCCGCTACCACGCAGCACAGAGCACCGGGTCAGGGCGGGCTCTGCAGCTGCACTGTCCCAGGAGCTCTCAGCCACGCCGCCCAGAGCACTGCACCGGTGGCGGAGCGAGTGAGCTGAGGCTGCGGGGGAGGGAGGACAGCAGGGGAGGGGCCAGGGGCCGGGCAGGATGGTCCCACGGGCCGGATGTGGCCCACAGGCCGTAGTTTGCCCACACCTGGTCTAGGCATATAGGAGAGAAGACTCCCGCATCTGAATCCTCCATTTGCATTTGAGTCCTCTCCAGGTAGGATGGATACTGGCTACCCTTCCTAAATCAGCATGGCAGGGAGATTATTTAGTCTGCTAAATTTGTGGGGCTGTTGTTTAAAAGCCCCTTCCCTAAACAATTCAGCTCTAACCTTTCTTTCCCAACACATTTAGAGCCTCCCTACTCATGGCTTGCTGCAAAATCCTTTCCAGAAACATTCTCACTACTGCCCCAGCACCTCCATTGCTGCAGGCTTCCTCTCTTTTCCTCAAAGAAACTGATACCCTCGTTACAACTCATTAGGAAATGTTTGTTTCAGGCCATAGGGCAGTAAAAACTTTCCAATGTAGTAACAGCTTATAAAGAGTGCGACCTCCAGATCTCCTAGGACCCAGTCTTGCTTTCACCCAAGTCAGTGGCATAACTCCTTATGTAGGGGACTTTTGGCTATTTGGTACCACTAGGGTAGAAAGCAGTGGCACTTTAACGCAGTATAGAGTCAGTATTTAAAGGAATGCTTTCTTCAAACAGTGACTTAAGACGTATTAGACAGTGATCTAAAAGTGGGAAGGCAAGAAAAGTGTACCCCACCAGATGCCTGAACTCTGCTGCTAAGCTTCCATTAGTGGATTCCTCCATGTTCATTACTTTTGTATTTGTTCCCAGAATGTTAAATTTTCTGAACCTACACAAAGAGAGGGGGAGAGTTATAAGACTTTAATTCATTTTAAAAATACCCAACATGGCAAAAAAATGGGAAGAGTACAGGTGCAACATACCCTTTTACCGTGTTCTTCTCATTCACGTCCCTGCAAAGGAGATTCAGATCTTTGTAAGTTCCAAAAGTAAACCACACACATGGGGGGGGGGGAGACTTATTTTCATCCCAACATTTTCATCCAAAGTTTAGATTTTTCCAACGTGCCTTTATAATCAAAGACAGCCCTTCAGTTTACTACACTGTTTATAACTTTGCTACGCCATTGCAAAATATAAGAGTTCATAAGCTACTTTCATTCTAAATCCCTAATTTCAAGCACAAAAAGCTACCATTTAACTTGAAACAGTGTTGCCAGTACTCATGGATTTTATCATAAATCTCTTAATACTAGATGTTAAGCCCCAGATCCTGGAGTCAGATGATTATTCGAGAATCTGCTTGTTTTTGTTCTGTTCAAGTAAGTTTCTAACCCTTGTAATGTTTGTGGAGAAAAGCCTCACTGCACACTAAAGAATAGAAGATAAATAAAAAAAATTGTGTTCATTTTTTAAAAATTTCATCATTTTCCAGCCAATCATGATTTCTGGAGGCCTGATTTTGGATGCCTGGGTTTGGCAATAGTGTTGAATTTCTCAAGCATGTTGTTGGCTGACAGGTGAATTTTGTTTAGGAAGTTTGGTAACAGTCTGTCTGGAGTTTTCTGATTTGAGTGTGAATAAGTAGGGTTTTGTTTTGTTTTACAGTTAAGACATTTCTCAAATGTTTATCTTAGGGGGCTCTTTTTGCATGTGGATAACTCAAAAATGGTTTTGTCTTAAAAGTTTAATCTTGTCATCTGTATAGTGCCCTATGTGGAATGCCTACTCTGCTAACTGTGAGAGAGACGAGTTGATAATGAAAGCTGTATGTGAATGAAAATAGCAGTATAGGGTCAATTCTGCCCTCAGATATGATTTAATGAGAAATGCACGCGCATGCTCACACGTAATTTACCTGCTCAGTGAGTGACTTTCCTTAGCAAATAAGGCTCCAGTACTACAATGAGCTCTGCATGGGTGGGACCTATGTGGAACTCACTGCAGGACTGGGTCTACATCTTTCCCTGTGGTGCAAAGGTATACTAGAAATGGACGAGGACATGGGGAACTGTTCTCTTGCACCTAGCAAGGAAGCAGAATTATAGTTAAAATAGGGGAAATGGTAGCTGGTACAACAAGGCCCAAAGTCTACTCTGTCATTAAATGTCTATCTCATGTGCTTTTTACTGGGGCTGATTATCATAACTACATGCAGGGTATGAAAAAGATGCAACTTACTTATCAAATAAGACTTTCACTTTTAAATTATAATTCAGTTCCTGTAGCTTCACCAGCAATCTGGAAAGAGAAATAAGTACAGATGACTGCAACTGCACAGGCTTTAATTCTCTTTTATTTTGGTGATGAACAAAATGGCTCCTTGGTTTGTCAGTCCCTTTTAAAAATCAATGAGTCAGCATGAAATTTCCACCCCGCTTTTGACTTCCCCACCTGAAATTCCTTTCCATTTTTTTGGGTCCAATACTACTCCCATTTAAATCAGACATTTTGCTACAGACTTCACTGAGAGTGTGACTGGTCCCTTTTGACTGACTGGATACTGCCCACTGATAAGTCATCTTTGACATATTTATTTGTTGATTCTTTCCATTTTGAATAATAAACAGTGCCTGTACATAGGCTCTGAGCGCCCTGCCATTTATTTGCAATTACAAAACCAAATAATGCAGCACAGTTAGCTCACCCCATTTTTCTGAAGCTGCAGCTCGTAATTAAATGCTAACGCACCATACACTGGCCTACCCCTCAATCCACCTAACACTTTTAAAAGGTAACAGTGAAACAAGTGGTCCCTGTAGCATGCCCTGGGAGAGGCAATTCCACTCTATTTCAGACCAGGGATAGGGATGCAATGAAGAGTCTATGGCACTGATGGAGAACACCCCACCAGCCACCCCCTCTCTATTATAATCAAGGGGGATCTGGCGTGAGCTCCCATGCTAAATCACAACTGTAGCAGTGTCTTACAGGGAGACCAGTATTACTGAGAACTATGGAAAAGACAGGAACTTTGAAGGCTAGGCCTGGAAGGGAATTGACTGTCACCCGTCAGGGAAAGACCATTCCTAACCACTTCTATGCAAAGAATTATTCCAAGTATAAGCAAAGAAAGTAAGTGTATTATTAGCTGACACCTATGCAAACTAAAGGAGCTTCTGAAAGGAGAGGAGATATTGGCAAACTAACTATAGTTCTAGTCAAGGAAGTGTCATTAAATATGGTATAAAATGGCTATTGCTAGGGCCCTACCAAATTCATGGCCATGAAAAACACGTCATGGACTGTGAAATCTGGTCTCCCCTCGTGAAATCTGGTCTTTTGTGTGCTTTTACCCTATATTATACAGATTTCACGGTGGAGACCAGCATTTCTCAAATTGAGGGTCCTGACCCAAAAGGGAAATGCAGGAGGTCTCCAGGTTATTTTAGGGGGATCACGGTATTGTCACCCTTATTTCTGCACTGCCTTCAGAGCTGGGCAACCAGGGAGCAGCAGCTGTTGGCCCAGCACCCAGCTCTGAAGGCAGCATCCTGCCAGCAGCAGCACAGAAGTAAGGCTGGCAATACCATACCATGCCACCCTTACTTCTGTGCTGCTGCCTTCAGAGCTGGGGGGCCGAAGAGTGGCGGCTGCTAATTGAGGGCCCAACTCTGCAGGCAGCAGCACAGAAGTAAAGGTGGCAATACCACACCATGCCATTCTTACTTCTGCGCTGCTGATGGTGGTGGCTCTGCCTTCAGCGTGGGGCTCCTGGCCAGCAGTCACTGCTCTCCAGTTGCCCAGCTCTGAAGGCAGCACTGCTGCCAGCAGCAGCGCAGAAGTAAGGGTAGCAGCAGTACTGCAACCCCACCCCCACCACCACACACAATAATCTTGCGACAGCCCCTCACACAACTTCTTTTTGGGTCAGGATCCCTACAATTACAACACTGTGAAATTTCAGATTTAAATAGCTGAAATCATGAAACTTATGATTTTTTTGAATCCTATGACCGTGAAATTGACCAAAATGAATCATGAAGCTGGTAGGGCCCTAGCTATTGCTTAAGGGAAGAGGACAGTTTTTTGGGGGGGGTTTTTTACTCCAAGACTCTGCCCCTGAGCAATCATGAATACAGCCTAGTGCTCCCTGGCTAGTCTACTAATGGTGGTTCATCCCTCCCCACATCAAAGTGGCCTGAAGGGTTTACACTGTATGCCTTCAACTCACTTCTGGCTAGGAAGTCAGGACTGTGTCACTCGATACCATGCCCCTGACCAAAGAAGTGAAGTCAGAGGGTTCCAAACAGAATCCTGGTCAGTTCTCAGCCGGAAGGAAGTGGAGCAGTGAGTGGGAAGAGGGATGCGTTGAGGGAGGAAGATAAGCAGGGCCCAGTGAAATCCTGCCAGAACACTTTGTCACAGAGCGCTCACTATATTTTGTTTCTGGTCACTTAGCCAGATGGAAGATTTTGCGGCCCTTTCAGCTACAGGAAGTCAATGAGGTAATAGGCTTAACACAAAGAAAAATTACCTCAGTTTTACTGTAAACTGCACTCCAGTCTTCAGGACCAATGGCCTCTGAGGATGAGTTGGCATGCAAGGCTGCCTCTCCACCACAAAAGAACTGCAGGGGGAACAAAACCATGGACATTTTGAGCTACATTAGTACAATACTGTTAAAAAGTGATGACGCTTTAGCACAAAACAGATTGCACAGTCTAATTTATTTACTACAGTATTTTTGACAATTATCCACAATAAATTGGTATTGTGTGGACTTTCAGTACCTATTTATTCAGGTACTAAATCCTGGGACTCTATTCTTATTCAAGTGATATGTTTTTAACTTGGATGGAACTCCAAAAATATAAACTTTTATTTCATCAGGGCTTTTAAAAAAAAAAAAAAGAGCACTAAAAATATAATTAACAGTTTGAAGAAAAACAAAAGCTACTTCACGCAACTTTAATAATCAAACAGCATGTAAATAATAAAGGACAGAACTGGTACAATCATAGGTGAGATAGAGTGTAAAGTAACGGAATGATCCATCAGCAGCACTATGGATTACTAAATTCTTAAAGTGTTCATACTGTGACCGGATGTCAGGCTCTAGGACAGTATTTCTCATCCTACTCGCACAACCACACTGTGCATATGACTAAGGAAAATGGCAGGATTTAGGCCTTTATATCTTCTCCATTTGCACCGATTCTAATGGAACAGGAGCTAATTTCTGTCCCTTTCAACTGTGGGTTAGCTCGGGTGCTTGAGTGGGACTCAGGAACAGGGGGTTCTAGTCTCAGCTCAGACAGTAACCTGTTGTGGGATTTTGGACAAATCACTTTACCCCTTTGGACCTCTTCCCCTCCCACATCTCATCTGTCTTATCTGTTTAGACTGTAACTACTTCAGGGCAGGAACCTTATGTTACATATTTGTACAGTGGGACCCTGATCTTAGACGGGGCCTCTAATTACTACTGGAATATAAATGACTGCATGGAGATGCAGGGCTATTCTGACTCATCCTAACTCCCACCCAAGGGAATAAGAGGTGGACCGTTTTCCAGGTATTCATCCTGCATGTATCTCTGTGGGTAGACCCCAGGCTGAACCCACATGGAGCAGCTTGCAGGACTAGAGCCTAAAACAAGAAATGGACTACGGGGCCAAAGCTTGATTCTATGTGCGCTGAAGACAATGGCAAAGCTCCCATTGACTTAAGGGTGCAGAATCAGTGGCTTAAACAGGAGAGCTTACAGGGAAAATCCTAGTAACAGACAGCTCAGTTTGTTTGTTTGTGAAGAATAAAAGAAAACAGCAGGTGGGGCACTAACCCCTGTGTGTGACATGTTAATTGGGGAGAGTCTACCATCCATTCACACAGACAGACCAAACAAACACATGCATCCATTACCTCTGAATGAGTTGTTTGAAAAGATTGCATGTGCGGTCTTGCAGGACTTGTTTGTTTTTTGTAATGGGATCTGGGTCATATGTAAATTTCTGCTCCAATTCCTCAAGCTTTTTAAGCTGCTGGCGAACTTGCTGAAGACTCTCGGCAACAATAGTGAACCTGCAAAAACACATCTTATTTATTATTGTTACCAAACACTGGTATTACAGTAGTGCCCAGACACCACCCAGTTCAGTCTCCAATTAGTATGTTTCTAAGATTCACAGTCCACAGGAACGTGTGAGCTTGTCTCAGTGGAAAAAAGATGCGATAATGATGTAGGTTTGGCAAGGATTTGTTGTTAGTGCAGGTAAATACTTAAATCTCCAGAATCTGCCCTCTTCACCTCTCCTTCCCATGTATGTACTGTGACCTATTTAAAGTAATAAGGAATGGAAGCATTTCCTTGAGTTACTAGCATCTGTTTCTTGGAGGACGTGTTTTGTGTATTGGAGACAAGGCATGCATTGTAAGGCTGCTTAAATAAATTGCTGTATTGCATTTGGTGCCATAATGGAGATTTCTATCCTATCTACAGTGCATTAGCTCTGCAGCACAGTAAATTATATTTAAGCAATCTGAGTGCTAACATGACATATAAGGTAGTTTATATGATATTTAATAAGGAAAACTATATTTCTCCCCCAATTAGAGCCCTCATTCTCTAGGGATGCATTCTGATGGTGGCAAATTCAATGGGATTTGCATCATCTTACACCAGAAATTACAGTAGAACCCCATTTATCCAATCCTCCATTATCCAGGTCTCCCTATTAACCAAACAACCAATGCACACAGGTCCAGAAGCAAGCGATCTCTCCTGCTGCCACTAGATGGCACTGCAGCCTTGCACCTTCCCATTCTCGGGATTATCAGATCTGACCCCTGTCTCAATTAGATCGGATAAATGGGGTTCTGCTGTAATGTGTCCTTGATGGGAAAACTAAGTGTCAATTTACTACATTTATCAGAACAAATACTTCCTAGAGGACTTCAACATTAACACCAAGGCTCAATTTGGCCTCTGGAACATAAAAAGGCAAATTGTACTTCACGTACAGAAAGTTATACAAGAAAGGCAGTTAATGTTTTCTTCAGACTTCCTCGAAAAGAATGAATACAAGACATTATTATATAACTTTCAAGAGCACAGTGAAATATGCTTGTTAATTCTCTTCTGGATAAAAAAATTACAATTTTAATAACAGTAAATTGACTGTGAGCCAAAATACTCTCTCTCTAAGCATGCCCATTTTCAAATATATTTACTTATCAGACCTTCTTTCATGGCATGTTTCAAAATCCCTGGGGTTAGTTCAACTGTGATGTAGAGACTTACCAGTTTTGTAGCTGGTCGAGGCAGGCATTGGGTGGGCCACCAATACAAGCAATTTGTTGTCTATGCTTCCATTCAACAAGCTCTTCATTAATCAAAGCACTTTGTGTGTGCTCTGATATATTCAACAGATTTATTATTTTGCTCACCACTTCCTAAAAAGAATATCAGATTCCTCTGTTTAATTGTTATATTTTAAGTACATTTAATTATTTGCTTTATCAATTAATGCTGCATCTCACAAAACTTTGCAAGGAATTCTGAATAATAGAAAATCTACTCTGCTAACATGAACTTGGAGAGCTGCTCTTTTTCCTCAACCAGCAGAGTATTTGCTTCACACAGAGAAGAGACAAAGCTCTACTAAACCGCTGACTTCTCCCAAGCGACTAACCTTAGATCCCCAATTCTGCAATGACCTGTATGCAAGTGGACCCTGGTGCCCATACAGACTCATTGCAGAATTGGGGCTCACGCTATTACAAGACATGTATGACTACTTAAGAAAGGTTTAAGCAAACAAAAAAGACAGCACTTTCTAGCATGACTAATGAGATATGACACATTTCCTTTCCTGTTATTGCACCAGCTTTAGCTGGTTAAATAAGTGTTCAAAACGAAAAGGCTGGTTTAGTAAGAAAAATCCTAAAATAGGAGCAGTGCAATTGCTTTAAGAGGTTTGGACTCCCAATAACAATGCAAAGGGCAAAAGAAAATTTAAATTGGTATTAACAATCAAGCTGCTTCTTTGTTTAAAACCATGGTTCTTTTATATCCTATGATAAGCCAAGCCAAAGAGAACAAATGTGCAGCTTTTCAACTAAAGTATTTTGGAGCACCACCTTTCGCTTAAGGTCAAGTGTTAGAAACATCTTCTGGAGGACGAGCTGTTCTTTCTTATATTCATCCTGTGCCACTCCACTGGTCTCATTTTCTATAAAATAAAATCAAACAATAGAATAAGAAATATTTTGTGTGGGGGAGGGCGGGGGAAATTGTTTTACTTTCAGTTAGACATTCAGAAGTCTGCAGAAGCTGATGGCAGCAGAGTCAGTACAAAGTGCTGAGGAACCTAGTGGCTGGAGGGAAAAGCCTGGCATTGTCTCTTCCTGTTTGGTTACTTGGGAACTGCTGACAGATTTCAAGAAAGGGAAAACCACATCCTTTCTTCTGCTTGAAATGATTAATTTAAAAGCTCAGTAGTTCTCAATTACTTTCACACCCAGGTTTCATGAGGGATTTAGACAAGGGAATCTCCAAAATTACTCAACTGGCCAGTGTCTAGATTATACTGTGCTGTTTAATGCTTGGAAAGATATTCAAAAACTCCCAAGTTCTACTTTTGAACAAATAGCCCAGTCCTAGGCCTGGTCTACACTAACCCCCCAATTCGAATTCAGGTACGCAACTTCAGCTACGTGAATAACGTAGCTGAAGTCGACGTACCTTAGTTCGAACTTACCGCGGTCCAGACGCGGCAGGCAGGCTCTGCCGTCGACTCCGCGTACTGCTCTCGCCGAGCAGGATTACCGGAGTCGACGACGAGCACTTCTGGGTTCGATTTATTGCGTCCAGACAAGACGCGATAAATCGAACCCGGAAGTTCGATTGCCAGCCGCCGAACTACCGCGTAAGTGTAGCCAAGCCCCTACATTCCTTACTCATGCCAGGAGAACCAGTCAAGTCACATAATGAAGCGTTTCACCATCTTTGATATTGAAAGTTCAATTAAATAGAACAGTGGCATGCAATTCTCTGTGGATAGCTCCCATCTTCAGTTCAACACTCTTTGTATTTACTAACACTAAACAATTTATTGTTTGTTAAACAGTAACTTTGTTTTTTTAGAAGCCAACAGTTTTCAAAACATGCAAGATGACAAATCCTCATTAATGGCTAGTCACTTTCCAACTTTGGTTTTGAAAAATGGGGCCTTTTTAGAACGTTTCAAGAACAGAACCAACCAACTTTAATCACCCTGGTCCCAATTCTACTGAAGTTAGTGGCAAAACTCCTATTAACTTAAATGGTGTAGGATCAGGGCCTTTTGCGGAGGCAGAAGGGGAGAGAAGAGAGAGCTCCTCTAACTCAAAAACAGAAATCCATACTTTCTCCAGACTAAGATATTAGGGAAAAACTCCTTAGCAGAGACCAAGTAAGTCAAGTTTCAGCCCATTAAGAATTTTTATCTCAAAAACTAGTAACTGACTGAAAACAGGGATCTATATAATGAATATGTAATCTCAATTTGTGATTCTCTATATATGAGAGGTTTACAAGTGCATCTCTATTTAAGGTTATAAGGTAATTTCATAATAAAATTACTTATGTATGCAGCGAATACACAATAGCAGGGAGAAGCCCAAGCTCCAGAGATAGGATCTAGAGCTGAACTGTCTCAAAATTCATGGGGTTTTGAAGTTGGTGTTTCTAGTAACAATGCAAAGGACACAAGAACATTTTGGCTTTCCAACTTTACATAACAGTGGGCATTGTGAGATGAAATATTTTAGGGATGAATTTTCATATCATAAGAAGGAAGAACAAGTAAAATTACCCCATCATTTGCATTATCTCTGAATTTGGCTGTCTCTAAATCCTGCTTTCTGGTACAATCTGATAGAATTTTTTTTTTGTACTGTACTTAAGATTTCTTATGGATGAATCTCACCTCTGTTCTGTAAGGTTTTGCATTTAAAGTCATATTCATCTTGCACATCCTCTAGAGTCTTGATGTCTTGTTCTACTTCCTACAAAGCATCAACATTGTAAAACACAGTTAGTAAAACAGACTTGATCATCTGAGACTTTTATGATTGGCAATCGTGTGGTACCCAGCTACTTAGAGATCGTAGAATCATAGAAGATTAGGGTTGGAAAAGACCTCAGGAGGTCATCTAGTCCAACCCCCTGCTCAAAGCAAAAAGAAGGTAGTAAGAAAAATCCGCAAACTAATCACTGCCTTCTCTGCCAATGGAAAGTGCACTTGTAACAAAATGGGGCTAAATTCTGACCTGGCATAGTCCCACACAACTTCAATGAGATGAGGAGAATTCGTGCACGACATGAAGGCATAATTTGGCCAGTGAATGGCATTTAAAGATTTTGGGACAAATCCTTCAGCCCTCACTCAGGAAAACTCTCAGGAAAGTCAGAGTAAGCACTACAGGATTTGTCCTACAGAAGATTATCAACCAAGATTAAGAAGTTATTTAAAAAAAAAAAAAACGTGCAGGGAAAAGCCATAGAGGCAGGTCTGATTTATAAAAGCTGACGATCTGGCTTCTAATAATTATTTTTTTTTTTTAGTGAACTATATATAATTTCTCAAAATACCTCCTTTCTTCTATAGTGTCGCTTCAGATAGATAGATATCTGACAATCTAATCTCTCTATCCATCCATCCCATTTTAAAACTTTCTCCTGCTGTGTTTGAAATTTGGGAAATCTGGTATAGCCAAGACTAAACTAAAAATCTGATTCCAGCCACAGTATGACAGGCATTGTGGACATCCTGCATCTCAGTACTGTTGAAAAGTGATAAGGTAAAGTTTTAAAAACATTTTACTGGTGGTAAAAAGCTGAAAAACATTCTGCTGAATTCATAATTGCCCTTTCACAACTTAGACACTGAAAATATTTTCCTGTTAGAAAAATAAATGCAAAGCCTAGAGTCCCACTTTGACTTTTACTTACCACAACATTGTTCTTCACACTCCTGACTTTCATATCCAGCTCCTTCTGTTTGTCCAGCATTACAGTATTCTGTATGTTCCCCACCTGCATCTGCAGTAGAGAGAACAAAAACAAAAATATTGGGTTTTTGGTTTTGATTAACACAAGCTACAGTGTATTTGGTGCCATAATGAAGCCTCTAACAGAGCACACTTTGTTCTGATAGTTCATGAGCAATTGTTATATACATCATAGTCAAAGAATTAGGTTTAAATAACTGAAAATAGAGGAAGGCTGTAATAAGGAAAGGGAGTGGGGGGTGTGTGAAAATATATAAACTTTGCCTTTTGGGTGGCACATTGTACTTTATATCATTTCTTAACTTATATACTTTTTCTGTGACTTGTTTTTGGCAAGCAATGATTTTATTTTGTATATTTTTCTGACATAATATAAAGAAAATGTAACATCTGAGAAGGCTGGGGTTTTGTTTGTTTTTTTATAAAGAGTTGGTACCGATGTTGGACTTTTAACGTGCATATACGTGAAGAGTAAGAATAGGGCAGGCATTTGTACAAAAAACTCTGTAAATTGGTGTACAGTTGACTTTTTGTGCATCTAAAATATAAAGCAAGATATCTTAGGTGGATGTAATTGTTTGAAACTGAATCCAAAAATAATTTAAGTAGTTAATCCTACTTAAAAGCCAGGACACTTGAAGGGCAGGTTGCTTCTCCATCCAGTAGTACACTATCAATGAAATAGGTATAGCAAGGCACTTCAGACCGTAGGTGACTTTTACATAATATGTGCTGTAAGAACTACTGTTTTGTGCAGTTATTAACTCAGTACTTAACAGTTTTCCAAGAAGTATATGATCCCATAAACTTGTCAAAACGTCCCTTTAAGTCAGACCATGAAAGCTACCTGCCTATTGTTTGTGATTTGAGATACGGTAAGGGACTTTCCTGTGTGCTTGGAATGTTTACAGTTTGGCTTTATGACATGGAGCTCTTTGTGTGTTATCACAATGGCTTCCTACATCTATATAACTTACAATCCAAAACTGGCCCATTCCAGTACACTGTAACACCAAAGTACTAATTCATCACAAGTAAGTAATCTATTACTACCTAATAACTGAGGTGCTACATTTTGCAGTATGCACTTTGTCTGCACCAAATGTGTCAGTGTGGGTTTTTTTATAATCTTCATTACCAAAAAATGTGACTAGTCCCAGAAAAAAAAGAGAGGAAAAACAAGGAGATTTACTCTAACAGGTGAAGAAGGGAACATCCTGGCTCCTTTCAATTTTTTACCTATTAATTTATGGGCAGAGATGGGCTCCATTGATAACACAAGATGGTAAAGACATATTTAGAGAGCAAATGAAAAGATGAGAGACTGTTGTATCAAGATCACAGAGAGAAGCTACAGAAAAGTGGGAAGGATCAGGTGGTCACCACAGGGCAGGCAGAGGGGTACACTGCAGAAAGGAAGGAGGCTAGAATCCCACTGATGTTGGAAGCACTGGCAGGGCAAAGGCAAGTCTTATAGCTGAGTCATAATAAAACCTGATAAGGTTGTTTAAATATTCTCCTTACCATAGCAATGGTATAAGTGTTTTTCTAAACTGGATTTTATTGTGGTGTTTTACTTTTGATAAAGGACTCAAAGTGGCCTAGCTTGCTCATATTTACTTTTGATTAGGTCAAATGTAAGAATAATATACAAACCGGCTTCTTTTCGTAAATCTCATCTAGCTCTGGACTATAAAGGCAGCTGAGGCCTTGAATTCCGTCACAGGATAAAAGTTGACTTCCTTTTTCTTTAAACTATGCCTAGGCAAGCAAACAATTTAAAACAAACCACATCTTGTGCGGTGGATGTTTATGATAGACCTGATCAAGCTTCCTCTTTTAAAACAGGAGGTGATGGGCAAGAGGAGAAAGCACATATGGTTCTGCTTTCAATCTGTCACTCTGTTTGAGTGGCTGGAATTGCAGCAGCTAAAGAGAGAGAAGGAATTACCTGGTCTGACAACTGGGCGCTGCTCAGTATTTTCCTTTCTTCCTTCAGACAGTTGAAGATTGTCATTGCCATTTGTATTGGGTCCTCTTGAAAATGATCCTGGTTGCACAGCATTAAAATAGTCCATTATTAGTACACACCAAACACTCCAGTTCTCATGTCTTTGATGAAACTGACAGGCAAAAAGCTTAGCATGTGGCGGTTGTACGTGAGCCAAGATGTGGTGTGGAGATGCACTGCCTCCGCAAGAGCTATCGGGTCAGGCACAGTGTTCCCTAGAACTACAGGAAGCATGACGGCTGTGTCACCCTTTCCAAGAGTGCAGAATCCAATGCCCTCTCGTCCACCCCAAGGGCCACTGCCCACCCACGTTCAGGAAGTCCAGTACTCTTGTAGGTGCTGGTTTTACATGGTTCTTGAACCTACTGTGTCCTGCTCTGCTCAGGGGCACTCGGGGGAAGGCTCCTTGCTGCATATGAACCCAGTTAGTGCTTGGCACAAGTCTAACCCTACCATTTGAGATGTGTACAGAGTGCTTGTACGGGGCCAACTGCGAGATAGCAAGACAAACGGGTAGCTGCCCTATCCTAAGCTTGGCTGAACAGAAGGACCAAGGAGGTCCGGCTATCAGTAGGCTTCCCTACCCTCTTTGCACTAGGGAGCACTGTTCTGCAATAGCTGCAGTCTTGTAAGAATGAGCTGGCGGTGGGAAGGCAGGACTGTGCCCAGTGAATCAACTAACTAATAAAATCCACTAGGTCCACATTCTGCAGTGTCCTACAATATATAAATCCCCAAGTGCTTTATTCCCTTTCCTCTTTAGTTCAGTATCATGTTTCTCTGCCTATAGTATGACATTGTCATTAGTACTGTGGCTTTTACTCTTTATAACTTGCCACTGTCAACCAAATTACTGAAACTGTTATTGCCTCTGCTGACTTTACTGGAGACTAACATGTTATCTGATCCTTTCCATAATATAAACCACTTTCGTTTCTTTGGTATAATCCTACAGAGCCTGGGGCTGCAGAACATGTGCAGGGAACACTTGCTCTTTTCACTGAGATTCTTCATTAGGATTTGTTTCTTGGTACAGACTCTACAATGTTATTTCACAGGCAAACTCTCTTGCCTATGGATAGTTTTCAGACTACTTTGTTTTTAATAGGTATGAGAGAACTGTATTTTAAAATGTTTGCAGGAATCTAGTTTAAAAAGAATCTGGGAAACACCTATTAAACCCACCTTCCATATTTTCTTAAAGTACAAGTTGATTTAATGTATTGCTGAAATCAAGTCAATTTAAAAGAAATGGATGGGTGAAATTTCTTTTAATCAAAGTCCCTCTGCTAAGTTTTTTGTGGCTCCATAACTTCTTTTGAGAAATGTTTTTTTCCCCCCTGTTGCTGCATAACACCCCCACACAAATGCCTGGAAAACTGAATAGATTGTATAAATTCTTTACTTTTTCCTAAGTGCTACCAAATAAACATAGTAAACTGGAAAAAAAATCATTTCTTTAAACTGCTGTAGTACTCAGGAGTTACTTGTACCATTCATAAGTTTTAAGAAAAAAACTCAGAGGGGGTATAATCTTTAACTTGATTGTGTTTAAGTTAGAAGAATATTCTCTTGAATAAAATAAGACCCTAATAAAATGACAGGAGTATGCCTGTGTGATTCCAAACAAGTTACACACATACCTGAAGATTACGTTTGCTTTTCCTGATGTTGTGTTGCAACAAAAAGTTGTTTTCTATTAAAAACCGACTGAACTGATCGTCTAGCTGTGATAGGAGGTCATGGAACAATACCGTAGCAAATGAAACGTTGTTGGCAGCATGCTCCCTAGGATATTTAAGGCATCTTTAATATTAAATGCAACTGTTATCTTTCTAAAATATCAGTTTAAGTGAATGCATTTTTTCAGATTTTGGTCTTAGTTTTTAAAAGCATTGAATAGGCATCTGTAGATTTCACTCAATTCCACTCTCTGTAACCCTTTTATTCCTTGATTCTCATCTCAAATGAATAATACTTCCTTTGCTTTTTTTCCTAGGGTTACTCTTGCAACATTGTGTATTTGCACATGTATTTTTCCTTAATCTCCACTATACTGAGGAGCTGGAAGTGGGATCTATTCATTTGCATGCTAATGAAGCTCTATAAAAAGATATTCTCTAGAGATTTTAGCAATACTTCAGTTTGCTAGTGGAGACGAAGCTAAACACCTGGCCCATATATCCCTTTAATAATAATTGTCCATCTCTCTCTGGTAGACAAACCAAACAGGGAACCAGCTGTGTACCCCTGAGCAGCACTACCCAATAGGCCCAGACCAGACTGGTAAGTGCTGGAAAGAAGTCCATGGGAAACAGTGACTAGCAGCCACATAGGCAACTACTAAATGTCTATTCCCACCACCCAATGGTCACTCTCATAAAAATTTACTGAACAGTTTGCTGCCCTAAGTGTCTGCTTGCTCTCACTGTACAGCAAAGGTAACCTTGTTCTTGGATATGCATGCATGGTTATCAATGAGAGCCATCGGCACACAAGGCCAGAACCTGGCACCATAACTTTCAAAGGCATCACCAGTCAACTAATTTAATGGCAAATTCCTATACACATTACAGCACTTTGCTCTCACCAGTCTTGATTTTCCAGCCATTGTGCCAGATACTGTCTGATTTCCATGGGAAAGCTGTCATCATACAGCTGGTGTACTTGCTCCAAGAATTTGGAATCAAGTTGCTGCAATTGATACCACTGAGTCATCCTGTGGAATCAAGATTAATACATTTTAATAAAATTACACCAATCTTATTCATACCTACATCCCAATACGAGATATTTAAGAGTAGAGCTATTTTTGATGGGAAATGTTTTTTTAATTCCCCCCCCAAAATTTAGTATAGTTATTTTCATAGAAAATGTTCAGGTTTTTGTCAAAAAAACCCCAAGTAATGTTTGGTTCTCAAGTTTTCAGAAATTCCCCAAAATTTCAAGAAAACATTGACAATTTAATTTGCATGGAAATAAACATCCTTTCCCAACCAGCTCTGATTAACGGTACGATGCAAAGAAGAATTTGTAAAATATACATATTTAATGGAGAGTCAAATTTAAAAAAGAAATCACACTTCTCTTTGAAAACTTTTACCTATTTTTGTTATAATTAACATTTAAGATTCTATAACAGTGATCTCTGTCCAATTTGTAATTTTGTTCATTTGACAGCACTTTGCATGGAGACCTGTTTCCCCTATGCAGTCGTAGACCTTGCAATGGGGCTCTGTGTAGGAGTAGCAGGCTGCTTGCATGTTGTATATTGCAGGACTGAGGTCTCACATTCAATTTCCCCTTCTGCATGTATGAATTTTTAACCCATCAATAGGAGAATGAAGAATATGAGACCTAAAAATGTGACTGCAAACCCATAAAAATGGTCAGGGAACTCAAGTGAAGGTTCAGAAAAGAGACATAAGAATGATCTGAGATCTGAAAAGCCTGCCTCAGTGAGAGACTAAGGAAGCTCAAGGTGTTTATCTTATCCAAGATCACCTCTATAAGTACCTACACGGGGAAAAGATTTCTTATATTAGAAAGCTCTTTAATTTAGCAGACAAAAGGCACAAAAGCTGAAGTGAGACGAATTCAGGCTAGAAATACGGTGAAAATTTTTACCAGTGAGAGTTGTTAATCACTGGAAGAAGTTCCCTACAGATGTAGTCGATTCTCCATAAGTGAGTCTTTTAAAGAGATGCTCTAGCTCAGTTACACTCATGACTTCAGTGGTTCAGGAGCCAAATTAGCAATCAACATTGCACAAAAGAGCCACAGTAGGGCGAATTCATTGTTTCATTTACTATAGTATTACATATTCATATTTAAACAGTATGATGGGAAATATATAATAAATTAATCTCACAGCAAAATTACTGACCAATTATTATTTTATCAATTACAACTGGTTAATAGAATCATAGAACTGGAAGGAACCTCAAGAGGTCTTCTAGTCCAGGCCCCTGCACTCAAGGCAGGACTAAGAATTATCTAGACTATCTCTGACAGGGTTGGGCATGGTGGTGTGTGCCTACCTAGCTACTTGGGAGGCTGAGGCTGGCGGATTACTCAGGGGTTCTGGGCTGTGATGCGCTATGCCAATCAGCTGTCTGGTGCCACTGACAGCCTGGCCGGCGGGTGATGAAGGTCTGGCTAGTGATCGGCGCTCTCTCTGTGAGCGCTGATGGACTGATCAATCAAGGTGATCTCTGACAGGTGTCTGTCTAACCTGCTATGTTTAATAACATAGTAAAAGCATCCTGATTGGTTAATAATTAAATCAGTGTTTTAATATCATGTGCTGTGAAGAGCCACAGGATACACATTAAAGGTCCACTTGTGGCTCGTAAACCTCAGTCAATCACTGCTCTAGTTCAACCAGAAATTATGGGGTCATGGCAAGAATTGCTTAGCAAAACTCTGTGGCCTATGTTATGCAGGTCAGATGATCATAATGGTCTCTTCTGACTTAGATTTTTAAAGTCACTTAGGCTCCTAAGTCCCTCTGAAAGTGATTTCTCTAATTGTGCATGTTCTCTTTGAAAAGGTATGCAAGTATCCAAGATGTTTACATTTCATTTTTCATTATACACCTTGACCCCGATATAACGTGGTCCTCAGGAGACAAAAAAAATCTCACCGCGTTATAAGTGAGACCGCGTTATATCGAACTTGCTTTGGCCCCCCCGTTTCTTGTTCCCTGACCGCCCCCTCCAGAGACCCCTGTCCCTAATCACCCCCAGGACTCCCCCCCACCCACCCAACCCCCCTGCTCCCTGACAGGCACTCACCGGCAGCGGCCGGAAGCGGAGCAACGTGGCCCCAGCCTGCTCCACTCCGCCACCTCCCAGCGGCGGCACTCCGCTTCCCGCCGCCAGTGAGCGCGGGGAGGTTGGGGAAAGGACGCCCCCCATACTCACCTGCGGCGGGAAGCAGAGCGCCGCAACTGGGAGCTGGTGGAGTAGAGAGGGCTGGGGCCAGGCTGCTCTGCTTCCGGCTGCTGGTGAGTGCAGGGAGGTTGGGGAAAGGACGCCCCCCATACTCACCGGCGGCGGGAAGCGGAGCGACATGGCCCCAGCCCGCTCCGCTTTCCTTGCCCCGGACCCAGCCGTGTCGGTGGAGGGGGAGGTTGGGGAAAGGTCCCGCACTCACCTGCAGCAGGAAGCAGAGCGCTGCGGCTGGGAGCTGGCGGAGTGGAGCGGGCTGGGGCCGGGCTGCTCCGCTTCTGCCGGTGAGTGCGGGGGGGATCCCTTCCCCTGAGCCCCCTCTCCCGAGTGACACAGCTGGGGCCGGGGCGAGGGAAGCGGAGCGGGCTGCTCCCAGCCCCCCGCTAATCCCCTGGGCCACTCTGGGATTGCAGGGCCCCCCAAAGTGCCCCCCCACAGCTCCTGCCTCCCAGACCCTGGGGGAGGGGGAAGCCCCTGACCGCCCCCGAGACCCTCTGCCCCTTATCCAACCAGGCCCTGGCACCCTTAATGTGTCAGAGCTTTACAGCGTCGTATGCAAACCTGCGTTATATCGGGTCGTGTTATATCGGGGTAGAGGTGTACTATGTTCTTAATCCAATGTTCCTTCATTATGCCCTCCTAAAATCTTGGGACCAAGTTGTAACCCTCTGTGTGTATTTATTTAGGAAAGGGATACGGTACTAAAAAAAAAAAAAATCTCGAGTCTCGGAGGAAGCAGGTGATGCAGGTTCCCAACCCTACGTATCTGGGCAATCTGAAGAGATGCGAAGGTCCAGTTCTGTAAAGGGGTGGCTTTTTTGTGTTTTGTTGTGGAGCTTCCCCAAGGCAGCATAGTTCCTGCAGGATCTGTGCTGCCATTTACAAGTCATCTTGCATGGCTGAAATCTCCCTACCTGTTCTTAAATGCTTTAGCCAAGACATCTGCACCCACTGTAGGGTAGAATACCATAGAGGTAAGTTCTTCTGTGGCTCCTGCTTCCAATACCTTGCCGGGCAAAGGAAGAGGCTCTGCATTTCCATGTACTAGGGACATGGTTTTTCCACTGACTCAAGGAGAGGTTTGGGGTCATAGGAAGGACTCCTGGATCTGTGCCTGTGAATCCAGTCATTGGAATACTTTGTGATGCTGATGCAGAGGGGCTGTGGTCAGTATAACAGGATAGGATCAAGTTGCACTCATTGTTACTTGGCCAAAGCCTGCCCCCTGGTAGGGTGCATGTGGGGAATGGATTTTATTCCCAGCATGAAGTTCCACTGCTCAGGCTTTGTGCAAAGGATGGGCTTAACTTCACTTCATTCCTTTCTTTTTAAATAAGTTAATTCAGGCCTCCTGAAGGATGCATACTGGCCATTTTTCACTTTAACTTCTCTCTCTCTCTCTTTCTTTTAATAATCTTAAACCTTTCGTTTTGATTGTTTCATTTTAAGAGTTAAAACAATCCCACAACCCAAAGTCAATTGAGTTGCAAAGTCTACAAGCCCCTGAAACTTACTTACGTTTCCACAACTCAACACTCCTGCTTGTCTACTCTCCGGCTAACTAGAGCTGAGACTATGCAATACCCCAGGCGGCTGCCAATGTAGCATATAGCCACTTCTGTCCCTTTTCTCTTCCCTCAGTCGTGCCAAGTTCAACCCAGCCAGAGCTCAGAACTGCATTTCTAAAGTCATTCTTACATAATTTCAAACCCTAGTGAAAAGGGTCAAAGACTTGTTTTTTTGATCTCTAAGGAGCGATTGGTACCCAGCATCAAACTTACTCTTCCTTTTTTTTTTTTTTATATGAAGAACATAAACTCCTGGTAGCTTTACTGTTCTGGACCACTTGGTGAGTGAGTTTTGTTATTTGCCCCATAACTGACAGATACTTTTGCTGCTTTTTGCACAGCCATTTTTGTACAACTAATTCCAGGCACACTTTCATTTTGCTGTTTAACTTCAGTCCCTGTGTGTTCAGATCTACACTGAGGACAAGTCTGAAGCCGGTTCATTTAAAAAAGGGGAATTAAAAGTAATTTCAGTCACTGCAACTGCCCCTTTTTCCTTCTGGTTTGGCAATCACATTTTCCTTTTTGTTACAAACCTCTTTCTGTCGCCTAATGCTGTGTGGAATACACATACAGATACAGAGAACAACCGTATATGTGCTGTCAAATGCCCAGGGTAAACAAAAAGCTTGTTTCCCCCCCTCTAATCTTTGTCAGTTAGAAGCATGTTATTTGCAATAACAACAGGTGAACAAAATTTCAAGCTGAAGGATGATCTTCTTCACCGTGGTAGTGTCCAGCTTTAAACTGCATCCGACTTTGCACTCCGTTGCTGCTCTCCCGCTCGGTGGGACTCATGTTCCCTGCACTTTAGCAGGTGTGAGCGCGGCTACAGTAACGGAGTGTCCCCCTACTCCAGCCGGCAGCAGCCCTCTGATGGAGGGGAGCAGCGTCAACCCCCTTGCCGGCCCTGGGCACCCACTGAAGTGACTTGGCTGAGGTCACAGGAAGGAACCTTGTGACAAACCCGGGAACAGAG